ATCTACGTCCCAATCCTCACCTATGGTCATGAGCTTTGGGTAATGACCGAAAGAACGAGATCGCGGATACAAGCGGCCGAAATGAGTTTCCTCCGTAGGGTGGCCGGGCTCAGCCTTAGAGATAGGGTGAGGAGCTCGGACATTCGGGAGGGACTCGGAGTAGAACCGCTGCTCCTCCGGATCGAAAGGAGCCAGTTGAGGTGGTTTGGGCATCTGGTCAGGATGCCTCCTGGACGCCTCCCCGGGGAGGTGTTTCGGGCATGTCCTGCCGGCAGAAGGCCCCCGGGTCGACCCAGGACACGTTGGAGAGGTTACATCTCCAATCTGGTCCAGGAACGCCTTGGGGTCCTGCCGGAGGAGCTGGTGGACAAGGCCGGGGAGAGGACGGCCTGGAGCTCCCTAGTTGGGATGCTGCCCCCGCGACCCGGACCCGGATAAGCGGAGGAAGACGAGACGAGACGAGACGAGAGAATAAGTAAAGATGGCAGAATGAAGGCAAAACACACGGTAGCAAAACACATTTTTATCTGCAGTTATTTCCTGCTTGGAATTAACTCTTTTCCGCTTTTATAACATTTATTTTTTTCATTTGACTAAAGTAGAAAGTTTGGTTTAATCAGCTGATTGTTAGCAAAATATTTGTTGCATATCTTCATCTAAAGTTTTGATGAAATAACTTTATTTTATTTTTCGGTTTTCATCACCGTGGGTAAAGTCTGGTACCTTCTAAATAAAATGTGATCTCTGGATAAGAGTAAATATAATCATAGTAAATATTTTGGATTTTAATAATAACTAAGATTTTATTTTCCATGAAGTAGCATCTCTACATAAGTTGTTTAGTTTTCCAGCTCTTATTATCTGGTACTGACACATAAGTGAATCGTGTCCTCATTTTAATAATTTAGGTTGTTTTTTAACAGGTTTGGTCATTCTTAATGAGGAGCTTATTTAAACCAGAGAAACTACACCTAACTGTTTGGTGTTCCTTTTTATTTTCGTATCAAACACAAAAATCCTTCATTTGAAAAATTTATAAACAAAAGAATTTTCCAAAATTAAATATTCGAAAATACAAATAACACTTCATAATTTCAAACAGAGTTTCTCTAGGTAATAATAACAGGCCCAGGGTTACTAGATTGAAATATTATCGTGTAGGAAGTTGATTTCCTCGCGTGTCCACACCGGGTCTCAACAGGTTACGATGACCCTCATTTATACCCGGAAAAGAAAATTTTCTAGTTATGGTTTTGACTCTTGAGAGGAAAGTCCTACATGCATTAAAACTGTCAATACATTGTCTAGAACTATATCAAATTGGGGTGAAAATCCCATAAACCCTTCTAGTATCTGGTAGGGCTGGGGGTAAACGATTATTTTTAAAACGATTATTCTGACGATTATTTTATCGAATAGTCGACTGTTCTAATGACTATTTAGAAAATTAATCTAATGATTATTTTTCTATTGCACAATTAACAAAAACCAGAAAATCTCAAATAAATTCCTCAAAAAAATTGATAAATTGTTACTGTAAGAGAATAAACACTACAGGCCTTCCATTTTGTATAACACTGCGTTTATTGTGTTGGTTGGTTATGTTCTGGTGACGTGTAGAACTTGGGAGTGCAGGCTGCTGCCTGAGAGGTGGTAGAAGATGGAGTGTCTCCATGCTGCTTTGTTTTGGTCACTTATGTGCGTGAGGCGAGTGGTCTTACGGGTTAAACCAAACTCAGGTGATATTTTACACTAAACCGAAAACCCACAACACTCTAAATGTAATAAAAGGGAGATCTACACCACAAAAAAGATGAACTCTAAACCAAAACGTAACAGCTTATCCCAACGCAAGAAGCTGTTAGCGAAGATGCTAACAGTAGCTTTACCAACGTTAAGTTCAAGTTACCAAGTTTAAATAAACCAAAAATACCCAGCAGCAAACAGACCAGCACGGAGGAGAGACTGCTACCACCAAAACAGCTCTCCTCATGTCTGAAAGAAAATCCTTAATGAAGGGAGAAGCGCTCCCGGTGATTTTCTACATCTGCGATAGACACGAAGCAGCGCATCTGACCCCGGAAGTTGTTGTCCGTTGCCGGGAGACGAAGGCGGGCAAAACAGGAAAATAATCTAGTAGTGGACGGACGTTGTTCCGGGTCTTCGGTATTTGGCGGAGATGTTAGTGAAGGCGGAGAAGAGGGCGAACTAGAGGAAAAACAGGCAGATTCCTCCTCTATTTACAAACTCCTGGGGATGCAACAAGTGGGCGCGGTGCGTCGACTTCCGGATCTGACGTCGACAAATTTTTAGAATCGAGCCGTCGACTTCGTCGAGGCTTCGCTACAGCCCTAGTATCTGGAGATCTTTGAGTTTATTGTGTAACTTTAGCTTTAGGTGGTTTGTGGGTCAATTAACAGATCAATGTGAGATCGATTATTCACCCTGAATGATTTAACAGGCGTTTACATCCAGTGATTATAGATGAAGCAGGGTTGCTGATTGTTGTCCTCTGAGGCAGGAACTATTTATTTTGTTGGATAAAACACAAACCCAGAGTACTTTTATGGTATCCACCACGATCTTGGTCCGTCTGCAGCGCGCTTATTTTCAACAAGGAAATCCATCAACTTAATTAATGTTCACAGGTAGTCAAAACTGTGCTCTCCAGATGTGCCCGTTCCCATTTATTATCTTTAGTTTTTTAACTGTGTGATTTATTTCTAAACCCCACAAATTTCAAACAGTTTGGTCTTATGTCTTGTTTTTGTTTTACGAGCGGGCTGAAATGACCGATTTCCTCTGCTGGCCGCTGCGTTTCTTCCCTCCTTTAATCATCCACATTTCCACATATCTGTCTTTTTCTGTCAACACCCAGCCGCCTTTTATCACGAGCAAAAAGCCTACCTGCAGTGTGCCGTGCATATTTTAAATGTCTCGCGCATAGTTTGTTTGGCACTGATTTAACTGCTGTCTTAATACTTGAGGATTTATTACATGTGCTCTTATAGATTAGAATAACAACAGTGTGAGGATGGACTGGATTCCAGATGTTAAAGCAGGTTGTTCTGTCAGAAATATGGGTCAGATTTAACCTGCTGAAATAAAAAGAGGATTTAAATATGTTTATATTGTTTATTTGACTTTGTAAACACATCATCTACTGTAAATTATGAAAATATAACAGAAAAATAGTTCCTAATGCCTTGTTTTTTCTTGAATTGTTGCAAAAGCTAAGACCAGAGACCAAAAATAAAAAAATGTAGCTTAATATAAGATGCAGATGATTGTGTGTTAATCATCCTCTGGTGTATTTAGCTTTTCACTAGGAATGCACTGAAATGAAAATTGTTGACCAAAACCAAAAATGAGGAAACCAAGGCCGAAAACCGAAACACAGACTGAAATGATGGTCAATAATTAGAAATAGGGCTGAACGATTTTGGAAAATAATCTAACTGCAAATTTTTTTCTTCAATATTGCAATTGCAATTTAATTCACAATTATTTTCTCAAGGGGCTTTTCTCATTTTTCAACTAACGGAAGCAAAAAAAAAAGATCTATGTAACTTGTACTGAATAAACAAGTTTATGTATCTACATATATCAACAAGTTTATTTGTCTACACATACATGAACACTCACAAGTAAAGACAACATCTTGTATTTGAAGATGCAATTTTTGGCAGCCATGAGCACATCCCTTGAAGGAGAAAAGGTATTAGCATCAACTGTGATAATTTATTTGCAGGATAGAAGTGTGTCCCATTTATTGGTCTTTAGTGCGTAGAGTTTTTGACATCTTGTCCATACAGGGCTTCCGTAGTTCAGTTACGTTCACAGCTGCTAGCCAAAACTCAGTGGAGTTGAAGTACAGTTTTCTAGCTTCACTAAAATATCTGTCTGTATTTATTTGATTAATGGTAGTTTTTACTTTTTATTAGACTCCAAATGTAATAATTTGGCACGTTCCTAATTCGTAATTTGTAAGAATCTATTCGGTGATTTTAACATTAGCATCCCTATGGGTTTTTCAGTGTATATTAGCATTGTGCTAACCACTCGCTGCCAGTCGAATCGCAGCCTTTGCGATTAGAAAATCTCCTTTTGTCACATCGCAATTTAATTGCATATGCAGTTAATCGTTCAGCCCTAATTAGAACTATAACATTCATGGGTAGGACGTGTACTAACCTCGCTAAAATCAAGGCAGCTCCCTGCTAGCTTCTGTTTGCAGGAGGTAGAAGTGAGCTGGAGCAGAGGTTAGCAGCAGTTGGAGTCTTATTTCCTGATATTTGGACATCTTACCTCTGATTGGATAACAGCATCTCCACAAATAACACAAGCCTGAAAGAGTTCTGTTGTAGAGTTGCTTGCGCTAACAGTTAGCTTCTACTAGCAGAGACGTGCTTTGCTGTTTCTTGAACGCTAAACCAACAACAGCCTTTCCTTGTCTCAAACCAAGATGGGTGAGCCCGGGAACGGCAATTTAGCAATGTGACGTAAATCTCGCTGGCTTTTCTAATCCAAGCATTTTCTTGTCTATTGGCGGCTAATGCAGGCGATCGGGTAGAAGACAATTTTTGTTTTAGCCTGTATGTTAAGTATAGAGTGACCTATCATATTTCAAAAGTAACCAGTAAAAAACTGTTTCTTAGTACACCTGTGTGTTAATGAAACCTTTTGAAAGCTTAAATAAGCCTAGTCATAAATATTTTTATTGTAAATTTGAGTTTTTAATGTCTATTTTGGCTGAAATCAAATTGATAAATGACTGATTTTCTTAGTTATCCATAACAAGGACTTGGACACATTCACACTCATTAGTTCAACTAACGCTTTCTGCTGCGCTCAGTTTTAGCTTAATAGTAATTAGCTGCCAGAAAGCCTTACGCTGCATACATAGTCATTTATTTTTAGGAATGTACCCTTTTTGAGCCCTAATTTATATAACAGCAAGCAGCAATAAACCATTTTATCATCCCCCTGTTTTCCGTCAGGTGAGGAGTATATTTCAGAGGAGCTATGGGGAGGTGCTCACGCTGTGCCCTCCAGGAGAAGAGGAGAGGAGGAAGTTCTTCTCTGATCTGCTGCTGGTTCAAGCAGCCAGACCACCGCCTCGCCCCAGGAGCACAGGTACTGGATCTCTTTACCAACGCACGCCGTGTGAAGCCGCTGTTGACTCCTCTCTGCTGTCAGTCCTAGAGGGCACTGTTGGCTGTTAGTCATTTGCTTTATAGCTCTCATTTCTTAACTGTGTTGTTCTGAGTTGAAACTATTTACACGTTTTTTCATTTCAACACTTGGAAGTTGTTTTAATCAGGCGGTTGTTTGTGGAAGAATTTTAAGATTTTTTGGTTAAAATCAAGTGCTGCATGTTTTAATAGCAGATGATTGCATATAAATCCCAGCCCGTTTCAGTCTCCTGTTAAAATCAGCCACACTTCAATCGCCCCGACCCCTTTCTTCAGTGACCTTCCGTTCCAGCTCTGTTGCTCCCACAGCTCTTTGCTACCGTTCGGCATGAATAAACCGTCCACCTGGGCTTTTAAATGAAAATGGCGCCCAGCGTTCACCTGCCAATTCCTCATTGATGCAAGACAGGGGTCCTCTGGTTTAGTTGCTCCGTGCTCCACAGGGGTTCCCACCTCTGCTGAGACAGCCATCTGACCGCCAGCCGAGAGGCCAGCAGAGAAAGCATGGAGGAGAATTGCTATGAGAGGGCCCAGCTGCGATTAGCCATAATTAGAATCAGAATCGCTGCTAGGGAGCGGAGCACCCTTAGGTGCTGTAGACCCTTCTTAACGATGTCGGCAGATGCTTGGGGCTAGCGTTAGTATCTTGGGAACGAAGACGGGGCTGCCTGCCTGCCATTCTTTATCACCCTGCCACTGGCCAGAGGCTATTCCTTAACGCATTTTAAAACCTGTATGAAGCACAGCTGCAGGTCCTTCTAAAGCTGAAATGATCTTAAAATATGCTTTTTATCCCCCCCTCCTTATTCTCAGGTCAATGTTATTGCTCTTTTCAAGTGTTTTAAAAGGGGATAATTGGAAAAAAAGTTTTAGATGGAGTTTAGTTTCAACTTGCAGCCAATTTGTATTAATCATTAATCATTAGTAGAAATAATCATACTCATAAGAGAAGTTGCCTTGCGCCAGATTCAGCCACTCTTCAATTTCCATCAGCAATACCCAGGAAGGTAAAGATAAAATAAAACACAGATAATGTTAATATAATTAAAAATATGATTGATAAATAGAAACATATTGAAGCTCATAGTGGAATTAAACCTCTCCTCCCCCACTCCATCTGCACAAATTAGCACTGCAACGTTTATAGTTGCAAACTAAATAAAATGTTTTCCATCTTTTGTTTTCTTCTACTTTCTCTGCATGATGACAACCGCTTCATTTCTATAAACACTCTGCAGCAGCGATGTTGCACTTTAGTAACAGGGACGAGACAAAGTCAAATCCATATCCTAGGGTTGTGTCTTCTCTTCAAAAACATTTATTTTAAAACTGTTTAATAATTTCTCAAGTAATTTCAACTTGCAGGTCTTTAGTAGTCTGCACAGCGCGCTGTCACCTACCTGCAAGAAAATAATACAAATGTACAATGTAATGTAAACAAAGAGCAGCGATCCAAACAAGCTTATCAAAATGTAATCATTCAAGGCAAGAGAACATCAACCAAATACGTGACGGCATTAGCGATTTCCTTAAATATTCATGTCTTCCTGTCAATCGAAATGCAAATGAAACCAAAAAGCCTGATTCATGCTTGTCCGTCAGCTCCGCAAGGGACAGACACGCACGGATTGAAGGAAGCGTTTTGCTCTCATACCTGGAGAGTGTTGCAAAGCAATCCGCCGGCAGGACAGCAGAGGGCGTAGCGCTGTTCTGTGGTATCCTGTCATGTATCGGTCCAAGATGGTGTGTTTATATTGTGTTTTTTTGTATATTAGAGACTTTTTAACACAGACGAATTTGTCCCTCATCCTCCTCCACCTCTTCATGCGCTCGCCACCTCTAAACCCACGTTTCCTGTCATTTCCGTCCACAAATAAAACGCTTGCTGCGCATCTTTTCACTCCTCCAGTCTCGGGGGAATTAAACGTTCATGTTTTTAGAGTTTTTTCGCGAGGTATTCTTAAAGCTTCTCCGTGTCTGCCGCTAGTTATCCTCGGCTCTCTTTATGTTTTTGAGGGTGCAATGCCGGCGGTGTAGACGACAGCGGCATCCTGACCAATCACAAGCTTGCGTAATCCGTCTCGACTGACGGATGTTTAGAAAAGAGAGCTTGACTCTGTCCGGCCTTGCAGAGCTCTTCGGCAGGATTGCAAGGACGTTGCATGTCTCCGCACTGACGCAGACGGAGAAGCATGAATCAGGCTTTACGGTGTCATGAAAGGGCCAAACAGCTAATCAGAGTACCTGCCTGTCATCTAAAGCAACTCTTTTTTTTAAAGGAAAAAAGAAAACAAGAAATAAAAAGGAAATAAAGAAAAGAGGGAAAAAAGGAAAAAAAGCAACTCTCGATCAAATCCCTCCTAAAAGCTTAAGCTAACGCTGTATTGAATGTTTTTCCACCTACTTATTTATTCATATTTGTTTACGTTGTCACCGTTTACTTAACCGAACAGCATTTGTGCTGCAATGTGTTGTTGTGTTCACCAGACTGTCAACTGCACCACTACTAAAGATTAGCTACAACTTGACGTTTTCTCTGTAAAACTCCAAATGGTAAAAACGAGTGATTACTAAAGCAAAGGGAAGAACATGTCTTTTTATAAAAAAGATGAACTGAAAGCTGAGCCAGATTATACAGAGGATTTATGCAGTTGGTCAGAGAGACAGAAGCAGATTCAGCTGCTCAGTGGAGGATATTTGTAGCAGCAGAACTGTAGCAATGTAAACATCTGTCTCATAAAGAGACCCATAGACACTAACTAGTTAGGTTCGAGTTGTTTTAGATTAAGATTGGGCGATAGCGATGGGTACCGAATTCGGTACTTTTTACGGTACCGACCAAATTCCACAGTACTGACTGAGCACCGATTCACGTCATTTGAAACAGTGCCTCGTTTCGGTACCCGTCCTTCATAACGAGAACTTGCCTAGACAGCTGCGCATGCGCAAGAGCGTTATCTCGTCGCTCGCTGCGAGCCAGTTGTAAACAGAGCAGCATGGTAGAAAGAACGCACGCTAAAGCTTGGGTCCACTTCACTAAATGTGATGGGTAACTGGGTGATGATGAAACCAGCGACAACGATCTAAGTGAGACATCCTCATCTTAATCTGCTCCGGTAGGTAAATAAAATGTTTAAGATAACGTTAGCTTGATATGTTAGCTTCCGTTTCGCTAATTGTGCGTTCACTTTCTCCTTGGAACTCCGAATTTCCGACTGGAAGAACATGAACGCGCTCTAAAGTTTGGCTTCACTTTACTAAATGCGACGGGTGATTGGGTGAAGACGAAACCAGCGACTACGATCTAAGTGTGAGGCATCATCGTTTTAATCTGCTCCAGCAGCTAAATAAACTGTTTAAGATAACGTTAGCTTGATATGTTAGCTTCAATTGCCACTATTGTTATCAGCTAATGGTGCGTTCGCTTTCTCCTCGGAAATTCTACCTTCCCAGTAGGAAAAATCAAATGAAAAAGGACGGCAAAAGGAATGAAGATACACAGTAAATTTAGTTCACAGTAAAGATGTTTGCTTCAGTTTAATTATCAGCTTATAAAACTACAAGGACGATGTTAAAATACAAACAGTTGTATGTTATTTGTGATATTTATCAAATATGGTTATAAATTGAGAAAAAATATATTTAATAATAAAAGAGAATTAAAATATTAAACACTCAAAAGTATCTAAAATTGGTACCGTTAAGTACTGAGATGGTTTGCACCGCGCTGTGAATTCACAGACTCACATAGTTGTCGAGATGAATCGTAAGCTTGGAACTTTGGCCGAGATTCATTATTGGCACAAACGGGATGCCATCAAGAAGAGAATGGACGAATCAGCACGGATTGGGATAGTTTAATGTCCATTATTGGGATTTTGAGAGGTTGAGGACCAACAAACTGTAAGACAGAGAGGAAATTATCTCCGTCTGGCCCCAAAAAAATTTCTAATCGGAAACTGGCGCCCTTGAGCCTGCAAGGCTCCAACGAAAACTCCCCCCTCAGAAGATATGTGGAATGTGCCGTCGCTATGGCAACTCAACTCTGTCTCCTTTCCCAGCCTGGGGGGGACTGCGGGAAGGCCGCTGAAACATTCCAGGGTCACCGCAACCCTCCAACCCTCAATGCTCCTCCCCCTATCCACACTGAGGTGACATGCGCTGCTTCATCGTGGCTGCAGGAACTGAAGTGGGGTTAGTCCCAACCCACCACCCCACTTAGTGGACACTTATGTTGTGTTGTCTGAAGTCTGTTGCACATCTGTCTGAGGTGTTTCTTTTTGCAGAGCAAAGCTGCCCTCCTGGTGGAGAGTAGCTCTGAAGTACCTTTTTTTTCCCCTCCACCTGAACCAATCCTCATGTTACCCCTCTTATCTCTATTAAGGTAGCGTGACTCAGGGTTGCGAATAACCACAGTCACCAATTCTTGTCATGCGTCTTGCCCATGTATGTCTGATCTCTGAATTGTGTGTACTGAAACTCTGATTTCCCTCTGGGATTAATAAAGTATCTTTGATTGATTTGATTGATTGATCCTCACTTTCCTATGATGATTATTATCTACATGTACGTAGAAAGAGGTGTTGTAAAAGGATGCCGATTTGACCTGGAAGTATATAATGTCCCATCCACAAGACTAATTCACAGACTTGCGCTTAAAAAACAATCAGCGAAAAGCTTGACATATCGGTCCTTATTTTAGGCAGAGAAATCTCCATACAACCCTACTAAAAAACAGCATCGCTCCATATTTCTAAACCATACCAGCAGATGTAATCGGTGTGAAAATGTATTTGCTGTATTTAACCTTGTGTGTTTCTTATCGCCCCTCCCATCAGAGAGGTGTGAAGAAGTTCTGCCAGTAGCAGACTCTCCAGGTCCAAGGGTCCTATCAGCAGAGGAGCAGCGCCGCCTGGCTGAGCAGGAGGAGAACACACTACGGGAACTCCGACTCTTTCTCAGGGACGTGACCAAGCGCCTGGCCACTGACAAACGATTCAACATCTTCAGCAAGCCAGTCGACATTGATGAGGTAAAATGGGACAACATGCGACTGAAGAGACTTTGTCTAAAGCTGTTTCTGGTATTATATTAAAATGAGATTTGTATTTTTGTACCAGGTGTCAGACTACCTGGAGGTGATTAGGCAGCCTATGGACCTATCCACTGTCATGACAAAGATTGACACTCATAAATACCTGACAGCCAAGGATTTCCTGGTGGACATCGACCTCATTTGCAGCAACGCTTTAGAGTACAACCCTGACAAGGATCCCGGGGGTGAGGACTGCAACACACTCTTAAAATACTCATGCACACGCGTTTTTTTCATATAAATTCAGTATGCACATAAAAATAGTCCAATACACACCTAAATGCTAAGTATTTTCAACAATGGTGCATTTTTAGTGAAGTTTTGCCCTTATTTTCTTCTAATTTCTGCATTCTATTCCATTCTATTTTAATTAATTAAAAATAGAATTTTTATCAAAACCTCCTGCCGTGCAGTCAGTCACTCATGAGACCGTATTGTCTCAAAGTCATTTTAGAGCTGTGATCTTAATGTCATAATATTCAGCCCTTATCGTGACAAAGAATTTCCAGAAAAATAAAGTAACTTTAAAATTCTCTAAATTCAAATAAAAAGGAGGGGGTGAAACCATCACTAACAGGTTTTCGCTTTAGAGTTAGTGGCTGGAAAACGCAGCCTGACAATTTAGCTTCATATCTTAAATGGTTGAATGATTTTAGGAAAAAACTGAATTGTGTTTTTTCTAGGACAAATTGCGACTATATTCACAATATAGAAGGGCTGGACAATATGACTTGAAGGAGGGGGGGTGTGTTCCTGTGGGTGAGTGGATGCAAACGAGAGTTGGCGTTTGTTTTAGCAGAGAAAAGAGGATACATCTTCAGAGCTAAACATGAATTTGGATCGAAATAAACACGCCAGAAAAGAAATGTAGTAATCTGAATTCACGGATCGGCTGATAGCAGAAAACCAGCCAGATTGAAATGCGCACAGACCTGCTTAATGTCGCCGGAGATGGCCAGCGGCTGCAACAGCCTGGGCTCCTGGCTCGTGCCGAGACCTTTTTTGGATTAAGTGGTGCTGGCTCCCTGGTCGGTCAACGTCGGTCGTGGAAGGGGAGGATATTGCAATCCTTGATCATGGCTTGACTTTTCGGTTCCTCCAGCTACACCAAACGTGGAATTCAGATCGCGAGTCCGAATTATCCAAAACAAGATTGAATCAGAGAAACTCTTCCAAATTGGGTTTCACTCTAAATGTGAGAACTCGACCGAACACGCAGACTTCCGGTTTCACGTAGAAAGTCGAAACAAAACAAATGGAGTTGCTTCTAAGTTTTACCGTAACTTTTGAGAGCTAATTACTTGACAACTGTAAAGCGCTGGGTTCTGCTAGGCCAGATGGAAACAGCCCGCAGGGATTTGTGCCTAAGGCATTCTTTGTTCTTTGCTCTGCCCCACACGAGGTCTGAACTTCTGGTTTTATAAACTTTACTTTGTCACACCCACATGTATTTCATTCATTAACCACTTGATGGCACTGTGGCTCTTTCAAATAACCCAGTCTTCCAATCATGAGAGATTCATGCTCACAATTTAACAAAGTTATCCATATAATTCCTCAAAAATTACTACTTTAAACAGGAAATAACTAAATTTATGTCTTAAACTAAACAAGTTTTACCATTAGCATGAATTTTAACTGGAGAAACAAAAATTGGCAAACAAAAACAAACACAAAACAAGCAGTTAAGTTTGTAACTGATAGTTTTAACATTAGAGCATCAGAGCACCTTGATTTCTAATGGTGAAGCAAAACTAAAACACTGTTTTTAATGTGGATAAGCATAACAATATCAGGGTCTTAATGATGACAATATTCAGGAATCTTCCAGAACATGCCCTGATAAGGTTTTACGAGCATTCAGACTTTGGGGAAGAGTCAAGTTTTGGCAGGTTGAGATAGAACAGACCCCGTCCTGATATCGGCCTGTGCCTCCATTGGTGCACACGAGAAAGACACGCCACTTGGTAAAATTTATGTCCCTGGGAAAAGACACTGTAAACCCAAATAAGTTCCCAGAACTCAAAAATTTTGAGGCAATCAATTGCCTCAATTTTTTTGAGTTTTGATACTGAAAATTTTTAGTTTTCATAAATAAAATTTCTTAATAAATTTTACTCATACATTTGAAGTTTATTAAATTAAAATTGCTCATCCAATCAACTCAAAAGTTCAACTGTACACTGTAACCTCGAATAACTTCACTGAACTCAAAATTCATGAGGAAACTGATTACCTAATAATTTTTAAGTTAACTTATCTAAAAACTATAAGTTAACCATAATTTAAAAAATATGACCTGAATAAAATCAAAGCATTTAACTACATCCAACCTATAACTTAGCACATAAGCAACTTACAAAGCTTTATTTCACTAAACTTGCATATTTCATTTTGATTTAACTTCATTACATGTTTTTACTAACTTAATAATATAACTTATACGAACTCTAAATGGACCTATTAAACCCTAACCCAAATAAGCTGAATTTACTTAAAAGTGACAATGTGGCAGGCTGGTCAAGGCAGTAATTAACACCAGATCATGAATCACACACCCCTAGATGCTAACAGCCAATAAAAGTGGAACACTCAAAGTCAAGTCAAGTCAAGAGTATCTGGTGTGAACAACCACAGTATTAATAACAATGGGACAGCACAGCCGTACAGCATTACTTTGACCAACCTCCTCACTTATGGTGCCAACATGATACAAAAAGTAACATCACATCTGCAACACTGAACGAAATAATAACTGAGAACAACAATCATCCACAATGAACATGCATAAACACCCCAAAATAGAGAAAAATAACTGAAAATATGACTACCCACACTGCACCACTCCCACCAGTTGTTTATTGTTCCTGAAATCCAACACAATTGCTAGTTTGTGGTTGTTTTTCTTGTAAATCCACAAATATTAAAAATAATATACAAGTCTGTTTATCAGACACACTTTAGGGTTGACGTAAAGATGAATGGAATAATATAGAAACATAACATAATAAATCGATCTTTCTTTGGTTAATATTACTCATTAAAATTAAGTTATGTTTACTTAAAAAAAGAAATAGTTCAGATTAATTAAAACGTTTGAGTTCTATGTACTTAAAACAAGAAAAATGTTGAACAAGCTCAACAAATTGGAGTTCTAAAAACAGTTTTTTAAATTATGAGTTTTATCTACTCAATATATTTGATCATTTAGAACTTTAGGGTTTACTATAGGAGATAGCCAGCTCCAAACTCCCCCCTGTTGCTGAGTGTGAGAGAAAAGGACTTTGTGTGAACCCAACACAAGTTAATCTGGGAGTAATGTGGATTTCCGTTACATCTTTGTCCACATTTCACCACCTTTAATCAGGGTTAAACCTTTTTTATGTTATTTTTTTACCTAACAGCTAAGTCAGCTAATGTTTTAGCCTGCCGCAGTCCACCTTGTTCTCACCTTAAAAAAAAGCAAATCTTAAACCCTCTTCAAAAGTCAGTGAAATAATGCAGACTCCTCCTCATCACCGGTAAAAACACATAATACTTGATGCTGGGTGCATCGTGTTTGCATCCTGCAAACTGTAAACCCAAGCAAATGCAGCATTTTTATGATGCTTCATTGCTAAAGTAGTGTACTTGTCTTTATGTTGAGTTATGTTGCAATAAAAATAGAGCAAATACAGTCACCATGAAATCAATAGAATAGAACATGTTTTGTGTGGGTTTGCATTTTTATCCCCAACATTCTCTAAAACCGTGGACGCTCCCTCACCCATCAGGAAGTGATGGTTCTGATTCTTGCCTTGTATGATCAGAGCTGTCTGATCCCAACAGGAAACCGCTTTCTGCCCAAAAGAATTATCTCCCAGTCTTTGCAGCCAAGAGTATCATTTGTCAGAGCGAAGGGTTTACAAACGATACACAGAGGAGCAAAAATGCAATTAGGCAGTTTTAATAAAGACGGCTAACAAAGCCTCCTCCCTGCCCGCCCTGTGCTTGGCCTGGGGAATATGGCCCAGAGCCTGCACAATTATGCTAGTGTGCAAGTTCAACATCAGCACTTAAAGGCCTGAAATAAAAAACACCCAATTATACCTCAGCTGCCTGTTTTACTCCTGCTTGTGTTTCACACTAAACTCTGCAGCCAAACGAAAACCTCACATTGTGAAGGGTGATCTCTTTTATTCCCCACAATGTGTCTTAGTGTCACACATTCTGCTCAGCAGCTTGAGGGAAGTGGTGATAACAACCCCGGTGCTGTGAAGTAACACATGGGCAGCGGAGCAGTTTGCCCTGTCTGCTGAAGACGGCAGGGTCAGGCGGTGCTCAAAAAGGGGCTGATGAGCTCTCGGCATCCTACCTGGCCTTTGACACGTCTTCCACAGATGGACATTTTTGTCCTTAAAACACACTTGCATTTACACACGCTCACATGTGCTCTCAGTAGAAGAAGGCACACACTCGGACACATTGCAATTAAGCAGCCACCTTCCAATTAGTGCAGCAGGAAAGATGGCAGCTTGTGACCCCTCTGTCCCGTTAAGCCTGAGCCGCTCTCCTGTTGCCTGCAGTAATGAGAAACTGTCTGTTTACAGCGGCCATGCCTTCGCTCGTGTCTGCAGCTTGGTCTTTGTTTTTCTCTCCGTGGAAGCAGAGGCAGGGGGGAGCAGAAGAGAATTTAATGATGATGTTGCACATGTATGGAGAAAGAGAAATGGGAGTTACGAAGATGCAGGAAGTCCTACAGATAATGAGTTCTCATTTTGAGAATATGTTTTATTGTTTGTGTTGGCCCGAGTGCGTCCGTCTTTATTTGGTTTCTGTCTCTGAGCGTGTGGGGTGGTGATATCAGCTCTTTCATGTTCTATTGGCTAATGTATACATCTGAAAAGCCAGCTCTGCCTTATTAGAAATGCTGGGATATAGCTATAATTCTGTTTCTCACAGGTATAGGAGAATGCAGCTGGCTTTCAATCGATTGTTTGCCTTTTCATGCATTATTAACTGATGAGAAAACACCAGAAAGGGCTTTATCAGCTATCTTTTGAGTGTGTTTCTGTGTAAAGGTTATAATTACAGTTTTATTTGTTGTGGGGGGATTTCCGAGCATCCTGTATGGAGAAAATATTTACATCATTCAGGAGTGATCAGCTAACCACCTAGTCTTAGTGCAGGCGTAACTAGAGTGGCAGAAATGCTCAGGTGACCTTCGAACATGAAAGCAAATTCAACACGAGTGGCAGGAATTATAATAAACATCTTATTTATTGTTTTTTTCCCAAGAGGTCCTTCTAGAAGTTAATTCCAGCAGGAATAGTTTAATATTTCTGCTGAAATAACCGTGTAATGTGAAAAATAATGGCTGCGTGAAGATGTATAGCAGATATTTATATAAATGGCTACAAAATTTAGGAGCTTGATGTTATTTTTTGTGATGACAGCAATCTGCCAGAGTAGCTGTTAGTTCATCAGTCTGTTTGGATGTAAACTCTTGTTTTCAAGTATGGATCCATAACAAGTAATAATTCATAATATTTACACAGAAACACAGTGTCCCTGAATTCTGAAAGGATAATTCTTGTGTCCCAATCAGAGCACCCACACAACGCTCCTTTAGGTTTACCATCCGTTTTCCTCTTCTTCCTCAGATAAGGTGATCAGGCACAGAGCGTGCAGTCTAAAGGACACGGCTCACGCTATATTCGCTTCTGAGCTAGATCCAGAGTTCGACCGCATGTGTGAAGACATCAAGGAGGCACGCAAAAAAAGAGGTAAGATCTTTAATTCAAAGCTTTCTCTTCCTGCATTTCTTCTATTGTGCAGCAGCATTTTCTCATACTAATGTTTTCTCAGCAGAATATTTGACTTTATTTAAACATATAGAGAGGTTTTGGGAGTCTTTAAATTACTGCTTATTCAAGAGATGGTGTTTCCCCCCCCCCCCCCCCTGGAAATAGGGGGCAGTACATACCTAAGTCATTGCAAGCAAACTTGTTTTTTTTTATGTTCGAGTAAGACCTTACCAATGTATGACCATTAGGGTAAAAAGAAAATCCCTGGGAGTGCAATTTTCTAACGAGTACTCCGTCAGATCTTTCAACCTCTGAATGGCACAAGTTCTGTAAGCATCCGTCCGTCCGTCCATTTTCTTCCGCCTATCCAGAGTGTGGTCGCGGGGGCAGCAGCCTAAGCCGAGCGGCCCAGTTTTCCCTTTCCCCAGCTACTTGGGCCAGCTCCTCTGGGGGGAATCCCAATGCGTTCCTGGCCAGCAGAGAGACATAGTCCCTCCAGCGTGTCCTGGGTCTTCCCATGGGTCTCCTCCCAGTTGGACGTGCCTGGAAAACCTCACCAGGAAGGCGTCCAGGAAGCATCCTAACTAGATGCCTGAGCCACCCCAACTGATTTCTCTCGACATGGAGGAGCAGCGGATCTACTCCGAGCCCATCCCGGATGATCAAGCTTTTCATCCTATCTCTAAGGGAGAGCCCAGCCACCCTGCAGAGAAAACTCATTTCGGCCGCTTGTATCTGCGATCTTGTTCTTTCGGTCACTATCCAAAGCTCGTGACCGTAGGTGAGTGTAGGAACGTAGATCGACCGGTAAATCAAGAGATTTGCCTTCTGGCTCACAACCGTCTAGTACAACGCCCGCATCACTGCAGACGCAGCACCAGTCCGCCTATCGATCTCACGCTCCATCTTTCCCTCACTCGTGAACAAGACCCCAAGATACTTAAACTCCTCCACTTGAGGCAGGACCTCATCCCTTACTTGAAGAAGGCAGTCTACCCTTTTCCAACTCAAGACCATAGTCTTGGATTTAGAGGGGCTGATTTTCATCCCAGCTACTTCACGCTGCTGTGAACTGCTCCAGCGAAAGATGGTGATCATGTTCTGATGAATCCAGCAGGACCACATTGTCTGCCAAAAGAAGAGACCTGATCCTTAGGCCACCAACAAGGATCCCCTCAACACCTTGGCTGTGCCCAGATATCCTGTCCATACAGAATTGGTGATAAAGGGCAGCCTTGGTGAAGGCCAACTCTCACCGAAAACGAGCTCCACTTACAGCCGGCAATGCAAACCAAGCTCTGACACCGGTACAAGGACCTAACAGCCCATATAGGGAGCCTAAGTCTCCTCCCTTTCCGGTCGGCTCATGGGTCCCCCGGAAGAACGAAAAAGAAATGCAAGTCAATGGGGGTAAAACAGCTGTTTTCTAATCCGCTTTGCCTTACGGCTTACGCCCTGGATCACACATATGTTTTACTGCAGTTTAAATGAAAAGTAATGATGGGTGTTTCGACCATGCCAGTTACACACTTAAAAATTTTTCAGCTTGTAAAAGTTTGTAATTAGCATGACTACGAACCAGACATCGACACGTGACGTCACCACATAAACTCCTCTTCCCTAACGTAGCTGCTTCTTACCAAATAGCCAGATTTATGGTGGTTCTTTCCTCCTGTGGGAAGGATTTGAAGTTTTCTGAACTTACAGCCCTTCTCCCTCAGTTTTCTCCGTGTCTGGTTCGATGACATCACTTTGGTGAAGCGCATTTGTAGTCCTGAACTTATTTTCACACAAAACCTAAAATTGTGTTTCCCCTCGTTCGAAAATAAGCGCCTTCTCGGTATCAAACTGCTTCTTTAAAATTCACAGACGTCATGTGTGAAATATGGCACAAAACAAATGGAATTCGAAAATAGCGTTTTTAGCCCCATTGACTTGCATTAATTTTTTCGTTCCGTGGTTCTGAAGTAGATGGTCGTGACTTAGGCTCCCTATAAAAGGGCCTGGTATCCCGCACTCGCCGAGTACCCTCCACAGGGCCCCTCGAGGGACGTGGGTGAACACCTTCAGCCTAAGGTTTCCTGGTGCCAAGAGCACATACTGACACCTTTATGCTTGAACATGGTGTTTGTTTAGGACAATCCATGATGTGCACATAAGTCCAGTAACAAAAAACCTCAGATTCAGATCGGGTGGCAATTCCTCCCAACCACACCACTCAAGGTTTCACTCTCATTGCCCACGTGAGCGTTCAAGTCCCACAGCAGAACGAGGTAAATACCAGAAGAGGCTCTCTCCCAGCACCCTCTCCAAAGACTCAAAAAAGTGTGGGTAGTATGAGCTGCAGTTTGGTGCATAAGCACAAACTACACAAACTACAATCATGACCTGTCCTACATGTAGGCAGAGGGAGGCTTTCGTTCACCGGTTTAAACCCCGACATACAGGCCCCAAGATGGGGGGCAACAAGTATGCCCACACTTGCTCTGCGCCACTCAGTGGGAACAACTCCAGAGTTGTTGAAAGTCCAACTCCTCTCAAGTAAACTGGTTCTGGAGCCAGAGCCATGCATTGAGGTGAGTAACTATATCTAGCTTGAAGCTCTCAACCCCATACACCAACTCTGGCTCTTTCCTCATCAGAAAGGTGACATTCCACGCACTGAGAGCTAGCTTATGTAGCCGAGGATCAGAGCGCCAAGGTCCCTGCCTTCAGCTACCACCTGACACACAATGCACCCAAACCCTTTAAGCCCCTCCCACGAGTGGTGAGCTCATGGAAAGGGAGACCCACGTCTTCTCTTCGGGCTGTGCCTGGCCGGGCACCTTGGGTAAAAGCATGGCCACCAGGCGCTTGCCAACGTACTCCGGCTGCAGGCCTGGCTCTAGAGAGGCGCCCCGATGACCCACGTCTAGGCAAGAGAACACGGTTTCCATTTATGTTTGTCTTCATAAGGGGTCTATGGGGTGCACTTTGTCTGATCCCTCACCTAGGACCTGTTTGCCATGGGTGACCCTACCAGAGGCATAAAGCCTCAGACAAGTTTTATAACCATTTGTTACAAATCAGTTAATGTGTTTTGTCTTCAGTATGGTGTCACTCAGAGACTTGGACCCACTCCCATGTATTTTTGACCCGGCTTTATGGTTATATGTTACAAAGCCTCCAATATTTTCCAACAACTGGGCATCATTTAATTAATTTTCAGCAACATTTTGATGGATATTTCCAGAGATTAACAGTAAAAACTTCTCATCTCTTTAGGAGTTTGTTACCAACGTGGATCTGAAAGTCAGACATGGGTAAAACTTGAATTTTCCAAAACAGAAGAAAGGTTTAGAAATATGTGGTATAGTATTCTAGAAAAATATACAGTATTTGACATTTTATGAGCAACTATGAAACAATAATGATAAATAAAAATAGGTGCTAGCGCTCCCAACAACCACCTCTTGAGTTTCTGGATGATGTTTTCCAAGAAACGAACCGAAGGCGGTTTGTGTCGGCTGTGGTTTTTCCTGCTTCTTTGATGGATTATTCCATAGAACACAAAGCTCCTATAAAGGAGATGAAATCTGAAGGGTAACCCCAGCAGCTCTTGATGGAGCAATGGAGTCGGATTTTAGTGCAGAATTGGTGGCAGAGACTGAAGTGAGGCCTGAGGCTCTTGTCGTTTTAGACGTTACTTTCTGCTCCAGCTGTTTGTCTGACTCTGAATTCGTACGCTCATCAAACAGCCCCAGAGCTGAGCGGAGGGGACCAGGGAGGGGGGTCTAAATCAGATTTATGCACCCATGCAATGAGCTAAGTAATAAACGACTTTTATGTTAACACTCATACATGTTCAGGTTTTTGCTAACATAGGAATTGGCTAATTAAATTGTTCCTTTACGCTGAACTCGATCTGCTCACCAGCCCACGTAGGACCATGCTTATTCATTTTTAAGTGTGTTTTAGTTTTATAAAACCACACTGACCCCATCAATACATTTTACTGCACAAAACGTGTCATTTGTGCGTCCTTGGTTGGTTTTGGTTCAGAAAAGCTTCAACATAGAGACGTTCTGAGCCCGTCCAGCTTTAAAGGTTAGACTCCTGCTTGTCGAGCACTAAATTCATCAAACCAAAAACACGTTTTCAGGTTCATGAGAAATGTTTGATTTTCTCTTTTTTCCCAACTAAAGACACGAGACGTTAATAGAAGGTTGCAGTGTGAGGAGTGAGCTGCCCGAGGAGGTGTACTGCTGTATAAATATTTCATCTTCCAGGCCACTTCTCCACATTAAGCTATCAGTTAGCTCCGAACGACGTGATGCCCAGCTGAAGCTGTGTTTTAACACCCACAGTACATCTGAGGGTCATTCTCTCCCTCATGATCAGATTAAAAGAGCTGTACATTTGGTGAAAAGTCTAACTGTTGCTTTATGTCTCCTTTTCTGGCCCTTGAAAGTGTTCATGTGTTTTTGTTTCTATTCATATCACCTACTGGCTCTGAGTCGAGCTCACTATTCTCTCTGTTCTATCTTTAGTTGTTATGTGTTAATATCTGAGCTGAGTGACGTGTATTTGTATTCAGATGGACGTTTCATAACCCTTTGGTCATGTTTGTCTGCCAAAACGTATTCCTGTCATCTCATGCCAGTCAGCTGTGTGCTTCAGTTGTTTTTCCACACTGATCATAATGGGTGCTCTGCAGACCCCCAGTCGCTGGCTCAGCTGACGGACCCCCCAAGTGTTTCACCAACTCGAAAGCAGCCATGTGGAGGAGAGGAGCAGGCCAGGACGAGCTCCTACGGAGAGTCCCCCTACAAACCGTCCCCCACAAGTGAGTAATTGTTTAGTCAGTTATTTGGTGTATATTAGGGCCTAAACGGTTCATTAAGTGATTGGAATCATCACCGTTGTGTTCTCTCTGCTTTATTTATCCGGATTTAAAACAACAAAATCATCTTTATGCTCAGATTTTGCTTTAGGATGACATTAGGCTTGTTTTACTGGTATCTGAACAGCCCAAACTCACCGGTCTTCAAATACAAAGTATTTAATCATCAAACCGCACTGCTGCTGCAATCAGGCAGATCACACAGAGTTTCAGGTAATTCTCATTCAACTCTGTTCTTCTGTCAGAGCAAAGCAAGGCAACATGGATCTGTGGTTCCTGGACAGGTGTGGAAATCTGATGATTGTTTTAATATGAACATGTTCTCAAAGTGTTTTTGTTCGTAAATAACTGAATAAGTTTTGTGGCAGCGTCTTTTCAGTAGATACAGCTGGAGCACATGCATTTAATCTAAGCCACATAATCTGGATTATTTGTAGGAGAGTGCAATCTTAGGTACCTCATGCAGTGGCGGTTTTACCATTAGGCATTGGTCGGCGGCCGCCGGGGGCCCCCTTGTGTTGGGGGGCCCCCTAGCCCTGACCACCGGCACCCCTCTGTTAATGCCTTTTTTATTTTTTATTCTTATTACCAACCTGTCGCCGCAGACGGGACTGGACATGCACACTTCTCATTACCATAATTCCTGAACCGTTCAAGATATGATTAAAATTCCAAAAGTGCTGAAAAGATTAAAAATGGGGCTTTTCGTGCATATACAATATATTACTGTAGCCACCGGGATTCCCTGTCTTGAGCGCAACGAATCACAACACAGATTCAGAGACGTTCTGAGTTTGTCATCCATAATGCTCCGTTTTTATAACTTTTGAACGGCTGATCAGATTCAAAACATTCCAACGGCTCCTAAAAGTACATAAAAGCAGCTTTCCAACAATCTATAGCATGAAGCAATCAGAGTTATGGAAAATATCGCTACGAGGGGAAATCCTGCTGTACAGCCTGATAGAAACTGAGAGTAGCGCCGCGGTGAAAGCGGATAACGGAACGGGGAAGCTAATTAGCATAAAAAGCATGAAGTTATGGAAATGCCTCAAGGAAAATGAACACAATCTATTAGGTGTCCCAGAAGGCTTATATCTGAAGATAGTGACCACGAAGAACGACAGATCTCCAGTGAATCAGGGTATGAATGTTTGTTCCGTCTTAATTTTTAATTTTTTTATTTGAACAACCCTCAATTATTTGCTAATTGTACGATTCGGCTTCATTCCAGCATTATTCATCTTTTTACAATAAATAATAATTTTTGCTAAAACAAAATTTTTGGTATAGCAGTGCATGGTGTGCAAGAGAAGCACACCATGGCAGTGTGAGGTGCGTAGAGTGGGACTCTGCCTGCAGCTGGAGAGAAACTGCTTCAAGGTCTACCACATCAAATAAAAACGTCTGAAAGTTTACAAAACTAAATGGTCTTAAAACTGCTAAAAAAGATACCAAGGTTCAAACTTTGAGAGTAGATGCATTACATTTCAAAGTTTAAATTGTTCATTCCAAATTGTTTGCCCAGTAATTTTGAAGTTCCTGTTCAGTAATAAATGTAAAAAATTCAAATCCAGTTTTTGCTTTTTTCACTTTTAAGCTGATTTTTTTAAAGGCTTTAAAAGAAATAAATTCTAAATATAAACCATACACTGAAAGCTGAGGTTGTTCTGAAAAAAGGGGAGAGTTACACACACTTTGCACTTTTATTACAATTTTACAGCCATAAGATAAAAAAATACCAGGCGGCCCTGTTATAATTATGGTCATAAGAGGGTTATTAAGACGGCGATGCACAAACAGGAAGTGATTGGTAGTCATTCCACTCCAATCCATTTGGTGGCAGTAATGCACCAAATTGTTGTTAGTCAAGTGCCATAAGACCACAAATAATAAGAAGAGAGGTGGGAGCGTTTGTAACAAACTCAAAGCGGTAGTCAAGACATTAAGCATGAAATGGAGTTATCCTAGTGGCTCCAATAAGAGAAAGAAGCAGCATACCTGGTGGTGGTAAGTTGGCTCAGATGGTGGGGGAGGATGCTGGTCAGACCAGGCAGGCCCAAACGTATCGCGAGGGTCTGCTGGGAATGTCTGGTGGAGTCACCTGTCAGAAGGAGCTTCAATTCCCAACTCCCGACAGAAATGGAGTTATCCTAGTGGCTCCAATAAGAGAAAGAGGCGGTATGCTTCATAAAAGCTTTTATTTTCACTTCTGAGAGTGACGTCATTTTGTTGATGTAAACATCAAAAGGAAGCAGAAAGGAAATGGAAAATGTTTAAAGGGAGGAAAATGTTGACCAAAATGGAAAATAGAAAAAAAAAAACAAAGACAAAAGCACAGGAGCACTGACAGGAAAAAGAAAGCAGAGCAAATATTAAAAGCGCTCAAAGGGAGGGAAATACAGGAAAAAAGAGGAAGGGAAAATAACTCATGTCAGTAGAGGAGAGAGTTTCACAAATACAGTTAAAGGTAAGATTGTTGAAAATTTAGTGTAAGGGGCCCCATGTCTGTGTTCGCCTTGGGCCCCCAAATTGCTAAATCTGCCACTGACCTCATGGTTTGATTTGATTTTGATTCGATTATTAAACAATTATCATGATTACCACAATAACCACTATTTTTAATGCATTTTGTCACCGTTAAGTTTTTTTTATCTCACGTCATAGCTTTTTGTTATTTTCAAATGATTTCAGCACACATTAATTCTAGTTACCAAATACCTTTTACTTCACTACGTTATTCATGTAAGACTGAACAAATATCCTACAGAGGTTTGCTTGAAATCTAAAGGAAAATGAAAATGAAAGTAAACACGTCAGTTTTGCTTTTATAAATGGAATCAGCGGAGAGTCTGCAAACTGGAGAAAGGCTGAGATGTGGAGCTTGTGGTCTTTACATCACCTGACATTTCACGTGGGACTGAAGAACAAAGACTGACCTTAAAAATGACCAAAGGCTCCCTGGTGCTGCCTCGGCTTTGCAGCAAAGGAACAGTTTTATGAAGAGGCTGGAGTTGCAGGAAAGTTATTATTATTTTTTTAATCTTTCCTTGATTGTTGGCTGGATAGGAGGAACAACCTCCGGCTTCCTCTCTTCATCTAACCCGAGATGGAAACGTGTCAGGTGCTGTCACATGTTGGTTGTGTTGCAGTTGTATTTTATTTTAGTTTTACACAAATTTCCTTTAATCCTCTTGACGAGTAAATCTCACACTCAGTGGCTGAAGCTCTTAAAAAAGCTTTTGCGTTTTGTTTTTTCTGCTGGTCCGTCCCCCTAACACAGAGCGATGTAATTCCAGGCCCGGAGGGCTGGTATCCAGCACGCTTTAGTTTTAACCCCGCTTCAACACACCTGATTTCAATCAGCCGGTAGCCTGATGAGCTGCTGCACAGGTGATTCAACCACTGAATCTAGTGGGTTAGACCAGAGAAACTAAAACGTGATGGATACCACCAGCCCTCGAGGCCCAGAACTGAAAAACCCTGCCCTTAAGTGTCAGAGCGAAATTCGTAACTTGGTTCCTACTAAGATCTGTGGCAGTTGTTCGGCATTTATTTAAAAATCGATAATGAACGTTTAGAAATCTATTTTAAATCGGCACATGTCACAGGTGAGGGATCAGACAAAGAGCAGCCCGAAGACCTCTTATGATGAATTATATAAATGGAAACCGTGTTCCCTCGCCCGGACGTGGGTCACCGGGGCCCCCCTCTGGAGCCAGGCCTGGAGATGGGGCACGTTAGCGAGCGCCTGGTGGCCGGGCTTTCACCCATGGAACCCAGCCGGGCACAGCCCGAAGAGGAAACGTGGGTCCCCCTTCCGATGGGCTCACCACTCGTGGGAGGGGTCGGGTGCAGTGTGTGACTGGTGGTAGTCAAGGGCGGGGCCCTTGGCGGTCTGATCCGCGGCTACAGAAGCTAGCTCTTGGCACATGAAATGTTACCTCTCTGGTGGGGAAGGAGCCTGAGTTGGTGTGTGAGGTTGAGAGGTTCTGACTAGATGTAGTAACTTACTAACTATTGCAACCACTTCCTGAACTCTTAGATCCTCATCTGCACTTCATCTGGTTCAATCTCGAGCTCGCCTTACCACCATGGGGAGCAGAGCTTTCAGTTGCTCTGCTCCACGGCTCTGGTACTCACTTCCCTCTGCCATTAGAAATACGGACTCTTCCATTATTCAAGGCACACCTCAAAACCCACTTATTCAAACAAGTTTATTCCCTTTAGATCTAGACTTTAGAATTGTTTAAAAATTTTTTATGTATCTTGTTTGTTCTTATTGCCCTATCTAACCTCTGTTGTTTTTTGTTTTTATCTTTGTAAGGTGACCTTGGGTTTGAGAAAGGCGCCCTCAAATAACATGTATTATTATTATTATTATTATAGTCGGACTCACCTCAACGCATGGCTCTGGCTCTGGAACCAGTTTCCCTGAGAGGGGTTGGATGTTCTACCACTCTGGAGTTGCTCCCACTGAGAGGCGCCGAGCAGGGGTGGGCATACTAGTTGCCCCCCATCTAGGTGCCTGTACGTTGGGGTTTACCCCAGTGAATGAGAGGGTAGCCTCCCTCCGCCTACGTGTGGGGGACGGGTTCTGACTGTGGTCTGTGCTTATGCACCAAACTACAGTTCAGACTACCCACCCTTTTTGGAGACCGTGGAGGGGGTGCTGGAAAGCTCTCCTTCCGGTGACTCCCTCGTTCTGCTGAGGGACTTTAACGCTCACGTGGGCAACAACAGTGAGATCTGGAGAGGTGTGGTTGGGAGGAATGGTCCCCCGATCTGAATTTGAGTGGTGTTTTGTTACTGGACTTCTGTGCCAGTCATGGATTGTCCATAGTGAACACCATGTTCAGACATAAAGGTGTCCATATGTGCTCTTGGCACCAGGATACCTTAGGCCGCAGCTCGATGATCAACTTTGTTGTTGTTTCATCTGA